AAGGGGCAGAAAGGGACTCACTTTTTTGGGCCAAGCTGTAACTGTAGTGTGTTTTCTTTCTTTCTTTCTTTTCTTTTTCTTTTTTTCCTTTTCTTGAGGTTCTTTGTTGCTCTTGGAAGATAAGCGTGTTTGTCTTCCTTTTGTAAATCTTCTATTGATGAATTAATGAAAGTGTTATTGATCAAAAAAAAAAAAAAAGTGAAACAAAAGCAGTATAGTTTCAGCCAGTTTACATTCCACCGGATCAATTACATCCTGGTAAATAGATATAGTAGACAAGCCAACTTTAAAGACTGAGGTCCATGGTTCAGGAGGTTAGATAAAACTTAGAAGCTATAACAAATACGCACCGCACTTGAACTTTTGGTCCCTTTTATCATAATCACATCATCATCAGAAATCTGCTCCTCAACAACTTCCTCGGCATAACCAAGAAGTGATGAATCAAATGTTTCCTCTCCCTCCATATCAGCAAAGGTTGAAACCTGTGATAAATCATGTCATTTAAGTCACTTCCGGAAAAAAAAAAAAGCGATAGCTGGTGAAATATGTCAGTTCCCAAAAAAAGTGTAATGTATTCACGATAGCCTAGCCCAGATTACTAGAATATAGTTGGCATTTCGCATCCACTCAACTAATTGGGAAGTTGAATAAATCTCTGATCAAATTCATTCCTTATAGGGCTGGCTGAAAGCCCAGTAGCTTTATTATTCATAGAGACAGTAAAGATAACATCAAAATTTACAAACAGTTTTTGACAATTCAGAATAAAATTAAGAATATTTTAAGGATAACAACCATTCTCTTCCTTAAATTTACCAAAAGGAAACATTAGTATACCTAAATGACCTCATTTTAACTATTGCTTTTTTTACAGGTAGTCAAGAATCAGAACATTAAATCTCAGAAGCACATTAGGAAGTCAGAAAAGTTATTAATAAAATGTCTGTGAAACTTACAACTGTTGCACCAGTAGCCTTGGCAACATGACGCAGATCCTCTTTGCGAACGCGCCTCACGGCAATTGCCCCAGCCTCTACAAAATACTAAAATAAGAATTGAAAAAGTATATTAGAACTACATCTATAACACAAGGATAAATATGCTATGCATTTGATGGATCATGCATGTGTTTAGAAAAAAAATTGTTCAAATATAAAGCAGCTTACTGAAACCCAAATATGGAAATAGCATTGCTAACTGGAAAAATAAAATACACAATGTATTGCATGATGCACCTATTATGTGTCAGAGCAAATAATAGAACTACTATAGGCAAAGTTAAAAAGACGATGCAATACAACTATAACAAGACTGGTAAATCATGATTTTGTTATAAATAGCAATCATGGGAATTAGTATATATAGTAAGTTTAAATGATACCAAAAATAATAATTTCAAAATAAAAGCAAATTTCTGGGCCCTATTCCTTAGACACCTAGAAGTAGAAAATAAATAAATAAAACTTAAAAATACCAATATCAGCATCACTAAAAATAGGGCTGTTCATAAGGAGACCCAACCTGACCCAACCCGAGTCGGCCGGGTTTTCTTCAGCACCGGTCGGTTTCGGGTTGTAAAAAATCATAAACCGATGGTTCGGGTCGGTTTCGGTTTTCATGTGTGAAAACCAAAACCGACCCGAACCGAACCGACTTAGTAGTTAGTAGTTAGTTCCAAGTTAGTAGTTACAACCTACTTAGTTCCTACTTAACTAAGTTGTCTCTATCCTAGTTACAACCTAACTTAATTTCTAGTCTTCTAGTTAGGAATGAAATTAATGGCAAGTATTGTAAGACAACTAGACAAGGAATTTTTTTGGAAAAGTTTAAAGAAAAGAATCAAASGATCCTAGTTTYTATGGTCTTTTACACCAAATTGGCAACCAATTACAATTAGAATTAGGTGTCCTTTTTTACTTAGATTAGAAGGTTTCTTGAAATATACAAATTTCAGTCTTCTTTCTCTAATACAGCTTGACTTTCTATTTTCTTGATAACTTGATTGGGGGGTGCTCCTGCTTCACAAAGTTATTGGCCTGTTTTCTCTTAATTTATGTGCTTTCCTTGCTGGATGATGTTGCTAGCTACTTCTCTGACACCCAATCTACCAATTTATTACCATGGTTGAACTTAGAGCCAAAATCGACCCAACCCGACTCAAACCGACCAGGTCGGTTTTTCTTAACACAGGGTCGGTTTCGGCTTCAATTTCAGGTAACCCGACCAGGTCGGGTCGGTTGGAAAAATCTCAGTAAACCGACCCAACCCGACCCGTGAACAGCCCCAACTAAAAAATATAAACTTGATGTAAGAATTGAAAAACAGATTTATTTCTCCATGGATTTTTTTCCTTGCTTCTGTATCTGCATCAATAGATCACCACCATACCAACTATTTACCCAACAAAGTGCTAGTTCACACCCACAAAATGGAAGAACAAATTCAAAGAATCCTTTTACAGACTCCGGAATCCAACCGGAAAGGTATACGCACAAATCATTACAGTTTAATAGGAAAATGTTGTCAGAGAATTCTACCAGCTTCAAATGCAGAATCTTTACTCGTGCCAGAAAAAGTCCATGTAGATGCATTTATGTATTACGGTCCTGAACACTATATATTGCACCCAGATCCTTAATTTTTGCTACAGAATTCCAAGTAAAATCTGCCAAATCTGCACCCGTTTTTCTGTAACAAGTATGAGGGAATGACCAGCGTTGATGCATTTTGACATGCAAGCAATATATATTATTTATAATATAATTGAAAATACTGATATTAGAAAATGGAGATTTCTACACAGCACAAACGGAAGTCTCGTATAGGGGATTACATTACATGATAACAACTTTGGCATTTTTTCTTTATTTTTTAGTTGTCATGTTGTAAAGTGATTATTGAATTCCTTTGTTGCTATTATCCCATTATTAGTTAAAAATAATACATTCCGCATATTAAATAAAGCTCGCTTGCTCTCTCGAGAATATTCCAATTCCAATCCCCACCTAACAGGCACATCTTAAGCAGTGATATCACAAGAATTTGGGCTAACATGGATCCAACTTCCAGATATCCATCCACGCCCACACCATACAGATGTAACATGACACACCAGAGCTAATAGTAGATAGTAAAATAATTAAAATGTAGAAAATCTTGCCTTGAGTGCCATATCATCAATCCCTTTACTTGTTAGCACAACATTGGCACCTGCTTTCAGAAGCTTTTCAATACGCTCTTTTGTCATATCAGCCTCTCTGCAAAGATAGCAAGTATAATTAGAACTGCACTGAACCAACATAGAAAAACTGAGTATAAAAATGCATCATTGCCTTGTTTTAATTCATATCATACTACATGGTTTTGCTTCATATTAAGCACTGGCATCCACATTAAAGGTCAATTACACAATGTTGACCCTAGCCATCATGGATCTTAGGAGAGGTTGACAGGATATAAACCTAACCTTTGGCTTTTGTTAAACAAAATGTCCACCCTCACACTCAAACCTACATTCTCACACTTGTCATCTTGAGATTTGACCATTTCACCAGAAAATTGGCCCTAATTGGCATTATCATTATGATTGACTTTGTGTTAGAAATTGGAAAAATCTAATCAGTGGTTTAGAAAAAGCAAAAGTATATGCTTAAATCACATGGAAAAATATCCAGTTTGACAAAATAATAACTTGGGTCTAATATACTTGACTTCAGTGTAAGTTTGTAAGGCATTAAAATTTGACTTCAGTGTAAGTTTGCAAGGCATTAAAATTTGACTTCAGTGTAAATTTTAGTCAAAATTTAAGCTCTATAGAATTATGCAAACCATGAAAACATTGTGAAAATGAAATTCATGATAGCTTGGCATATTTCTTTCCCAAGCAAGGGATATCAAGGGGCCATTTGTTCTGGACAGTATTGTAATACTACCAGGGGTCCAGGTTAATGAGCCTGATTTGTAAACCTGTTTTTCTCTATATAGGCAATGAATCTTTTGTTACTGATCAAAAAAATGTCTGAAATTCATGATAAACCTTTAGAAGAAAAAGAATCATAGAATAAACATCAATACACGCTGACTCATTGAGCAATAAAAATAATGTTGTAAAATAGAAAATAAAATATAAAAACAATGTACACCATTCATGCATAGTTGAAGCCAAAACTTTCCAACTAGAGGAGATTAGAAAAAACTTGCAGCAGCTGTTAAAGATCAGGGAAGCAGAGAATTGGATGAAGATTCTGTAGTGTGGTTTACAAGGGTCCCTGGATGAGGCAATCTACATGGACAGTAGGGGTGGCAACAAGCTTGAGCCCAATTCAGTGGCTCGATTATTAAACGTGCTGAGCTTCAGCGGCTCGTGAGGCTCGCGAGCCGACTCGAATATATATATATATATATAATAAAAATATTATAATTATTAATTATTATAGTTCTTAATTTTTTAAATATAAAATAAAAAAATTATATATAATTTTTATTTTAATAAAATATTTCTTCTAAATATTTTTACAAAATATAAAACGAGCCGAGCAGAGCCGAGCTCGAGCTCAAGGTTTTGGCTCGAACCGAGCTCGAGCCTTGTAGAATAGTCTCGAGCCAAGCTCAAGCCTGGTACTATTCGGCTCAGCTCAGCTCGAATCCACCCCTAATGGACAGGGTGGATAGATTAAGACAATCAAAGATTGGAAAAGGGTGGAAGAACAAATCAAAGAACTATGCTTGCAAAACGAGGCATAGTTGAAGACAATCTAAGATTACATGGCTGTGTTGCTTACACCAATGGATGTGAATGTAGCAGCAAGGCTAATCCAGATATAAGAGATGATCATGGAGAGAAGAAACTCAGTGAAGACCACTGAAGTCAGAATTTTTGGGCATCCTCTCAATCTCTATCCTTGGAACTGTTTTTGAGCTAGCAAGCCATGTGGTGGATTTGTGGAGGGTGGGTGGATCCAAGCAAAAAAAAAAAAACAATACAAACTAAAACAAAACCAGGTCCATCCAAACCAAACCAGTATGCAGACTTTTACCCTAATGAAGATTGATATTTAATATTTGTGAGACACTTCTAAGGAAAAAGGCCTCAATGTGTTTATCTACTCATATGCCTTCTTTGTAATGCCAGTGGAAAAAGTACTTCACCACCATCCAAACCTTATCCCAAGTCCCAACTATATGCGGTCAACTTCATGAATCTTGTTCCAATAGACCATTTTGCTTATCTGTATGGGATATTTGGAAATGGCTTTTTGCTCCCTTTGTATGCAGATGGAAACCTCCTTCGGATGTGTCTAACTCTTTTTGACCACAATTTCTTCAATCAACCAACTGGAAGGAAGATGTTATGGAGATGCACTAGGGATGCAAATATTTTGGGCCATTTGAAAGGAAAGGAACTGAAAATTATTCAGAGACAAGACCCAAGAGAGGAGGGTTATTAATAGAACCACATTACTACGAAAATCGTCTAATGAGTTAAAACAATGGGTTAAACTCTTTCTCCACTGACGACATTATTAAAGGATAGCTGCTGGTTGTCAACTTCCTCCAACTCACTTAATCAAGTTTAATCTTGACAGCTGCAACAGAGATAATCCAGGCCCATCCAGAACTGGTGGTGTTAACCGCAATGGAGACATTCTAACACTTTTTTCTAGATCAGCAGGCAATAAACTCAGAGACCGCCAGACTGGTATTTTAAAAGCGCAAGGCATAAAAAAGTGCAAGGAAAGGTGTGCGCCTTTTTGAAGCAAGGGGCAAAATTTTAAAAATTAAAAAAAAAAGAAAAATGCAAAAAAAAAATTAAAATATTTAAAATGGTATTATATAAAAATACATATATTTTAAACTAAATGTTTTAAAAAGTCTCATCATTATTATCACCATCATCCATGCTTTATCCCCACTATATGGGATCAGCTACATCAATCCTGTTTTGCCAATCCATCCTAATTCAAAGACATATTCATTGCTAAATTATTAGTGATTAAATCGTTTCTTACTACTACCCATGTCCTTTTTGGTCAACTCCAAGCTCTTATAGCCCCTTCCACTCGTAACAAATCACTTCTTCTAACTGAAGCTGTTGGTCATCTTCTACATGCGAGACCAAAATCATCTTAGTCCACTCCCTCCTAATTTATCACCTATTGGAGCTACTCCTAGGTTCCTACTGATGGCTTCATTCCTGATCCTATCCTTTCTAGTTTTCCACTTATCCATCTTAGCATTTGCATTTCTGCCACATTCATTTTCTGGACATATTGTTTCTTGACTGCCCAAAATTCTGATCAAATTTAAATATAACATAACATAAAATGCATATTCAAAGTAAAAATGTAAAATAAAATTAAATATAACATATGAAACATATTCATGCACTCAAGAATTCAAGCATGTGAAACTTTAATCACTTCATTTCATTTACAATCACATTACCCAAGTTCTATGAGCCGCTTTATACCAAGCCCCTTGAGGCAATGCCAAACAAATCCATGCTAGAGTCCTAAATCCATAATTCATTTACAAAAGTTTGATTTTTTAATTTTAATTATAATTCCTTTTAAAAATGTTTTGTATTAAGAAGGATGAATATATAATACTAGCAAAAATGGGGTCTTCGGAGATTCCTTATCTTTTTTTATGCACATGTTGCATGTCCAACCACCAAATGTGTGTAGTGTGTCAGGGAGAAAAGGTTTAAAAACATTGCTGAAATTGTTGACTTATTTATGAAGATTCGAAAAAACTAATTAGGAGAAAACCACAGCACATTATTTCAAGATAAATAGATTACCTTTGACGAATCTTCTCAAGCTCCCTAGGATCTGTAACTACAACTTGAATACCCAATTGCATTTTTGTCTTCTGAAGATTAAAATCGAGACAAGCAATCCTTGCAGGAGCAACTCTAATGGGCATTCCTTGGGCAGCACGGCCAGTATTTAGTGCATAACCATTCAGCAAATAACTGTCTTTTGCACTTTTCCCATGAGCTTTCAAAATATTGATACTCTGAAACATGAAGGAGAATTGTATTACTACATATCATATAGCAAGAAACTCTGTCTCTTTCAAAACCATGACCATACAAAAGAAATCAAACTTAATGAAAAATGGTTGCTTGAAGATAAGTAAAACCTGACAACTACATTCAATGGTCAATCTTCAGAATAGAAAATCAAATAATCAAATCATTAAATAATCACAAACACCCCCATCAATCTCTCCAAATTTGGTTGCCAGGCCAATATGAACATGCACAAGCAGACTACTTGGATAATAAATTAAAACATTATATAACTGACCTTGATAGGGTATTTAATTTCCCCTCTTGCATTGGTAGCTTTTATTGCTTGAACTGCATCTACAGCCTAGGAAATTAAACCAAAGAGATAAAATACAGTCTTCACAAAACAAAATATGTGAATCATAAACAGTAAATGTGAAATGGGATCAAAACTATGTCTGATGAGATTACACGATATTCTAGAACATGCTTCCAAATGAATAATAAATAGGAAAATGCATAACTTTATTGAAAAATCAATCTATATCTATAAACAAAATTGAAAAATCAGTCATGCTAACTGAGAAATGAACACACCAAGTGCATGGTCAAATGAGAATCAGCAATTTTATTGAACAATTCTTGGCTATATCGCCCATATATCAACATGCAAGATTAACATGGAAACTGATGGAGTTATTAAAACAGCCACTTTCTGAATCAATGTCTTCCAGGCATGTTTCTTTAGCCAAGTCCAGATGACGAGATGGTTAAAAGATAAGTCTCAGTCTAGTAGAATTGCTTCTTTGACATGCTGATAAGAAATTTGGAAGTAGGTCCCTCTCTTTTGTTTCATCTTCTCATCTGAGAGCAAAACCCCCCAAATCTTACACAAGGGTGAAACATCCTTTAATACAGGATTCAACGAAAGAATGGGAGTTAACACCTTAAATATAAGACTTAATGAGAGGAGTTGGATGAGGAAAAATGTAGTAATACAAATTACATTTTGTACCCTCGCAATAGGGACCAAATTCAAAAATAGGGGTATTCTAGTCAAGAATAGGATTCAGTGAATTAATATCTTAAATATAGATTTAATGAAAGGTATTTTAGTCAAATAAAATGGTTGTTCACATTACATTTCTATTCTTACAATTATAGATGGACCAAATTCAAAAAGTGGGGTATTTTAGTCAAATAAAATTTCCACTCTCATTCACACTTTTAATAGTAGTATAGATACTACTCCTTAATGAACTCCACTTTGTTGAATTTGTTTTGGCAATAAAATAAAATATTATGTTTTATCAGAAACGATAACTTTCATTAGAGATAAATTAAACTGAAATACAGAATTCAACCCTTATTAGAAAAGGTTGATCCAATAAACATCAAACATTACAGCACTGCCCAATAAAGACTCTCCCTTACAGTCCCTTGTTTTGCTAGGGCGTCAGCAAAACCATTT